CTTCCTACAGACATTCTAATGGTGCTGATGTTTGTCTCTATGACATATTGGGAGTGTTTTTTAAAAAGTTGTTTATTTATTTGGCTCTGCCAGGTCTTAGTTGCAGCGTGTCGGATCTTTAGTTGTGGCATGCAGAACTCTTCATTCCCTGACCAAGGAGGGAACCCAGGCCCCCTGCATTGCGAGTATGGAATCTTGGCCACTGAATCACAAGGGAAGTCTCCTGGGGGTGTTTTAATTCCATGCAGTAACTGTGGAGTCTGCCATATATCAAGGTTGGGAGCACAGATGGGCTCGTGACAGAGACAGATGTGAAACAGTATCTGACCGTACAGTGGGAAAGCACAACTAAGAAAGCTTACACAAGGAACAGAGGAGGCAGAGGAGGAAGTGATGACCTCTCCTGGCCCGTGAGGCCAGGGAGCAAGGACATTTTACAGGTGGAGGAGGCAGCAGCACACTTTATGGAGACATAATATACCCAGTGAGCTTGGCAGCTGTAAAGAGCTTGGCACTATTGAAGCATGAATTTCAAGTCAAGGTGTGGCAGATGACCGGATGGAGAGAGAGGCAGCCGCAGTTCACCAAGGGCCTCATATGCCATGATTAGGAGCTGAGAGAACATGCAAAATAAACTCCTAAATGTGGTATACTTGCAAATTTTCAATCATCCTGAAATGACAACATCTGAATGAGATGTTTATGTTTTCTAGGGACTTCCCTGCCAGCCCAGTAGTTAAGATTCTGCACTTCCAATGTGGGGAATACAGGTTCAGTCCCCAGTCGGGGAAATAAGATTCCACATGACCAAAAAATAATAAAAAATAAAATACAGCTTCCAGAAAATCTGTTCAATCATTCATTCACTCACCAAACATTTTTTTAAAATTTTCTAAAGAGCTATATAGATAAGGTCATGGTAGTGTGACACAGTCTCTGACTCTATAACCTCATTTATGAAGTTCCTGTGTGCCTTGGTAGATTTTAAAGTTTCTTTTCATGAATTTTTAAAAACAGCTTTATTGAGGCATAGCTGACAAATAATAAACAGCACATACTTTGAGTGCAGTTTTTGAAGTTTGATGTTTATATGACATACATATATACTTATGAAACTATCAACACAGTCATCATATTCATCCATAAAAATTTCCTCTTGCTCCTTGGAAATCCCTCCCCCAACCTCCATCTCAAACCCAGGCAACCACTGACATGCTTTCTGTCACCATAGATTAGTTTGCTTTCTGTAGAATTTTCTATAAATATGTACTCTTTTTTTGTTTTTTTTTTTTTGGTCTGGTGCTGGTGCTCAGATGCTCACTTATGTCCGACTCTCTGCAACCCCATGGACTGTAGCCCACCAGGCTCCTCTGTCCATGGGGATTCTCCAGGCAAGAATACTGGAATGGGTTGCCATGCCCTCCTCTAGGGGATCTTCCCAACCCAGGGATGAACCTGCATCTTTTACATCTCCTGCACTGGCAGGCGGATTGTTTACTACTAATGCCACCTGTGAAGCCCTGCTTCTTTCAAATAGCATAATTATTTTGAGATTCATCCATGTGATTTCATGTATCAATAGTTATCATTGTTTATTTTTTTAAAAAACTTTCCACTTTGAGCTATGCCCTCCTACAGTATTTACTGTATCTCCACAAATTTGCTCCATGGGATAACAAATTTGCTTCACATTAGGAGGTGCTTTGGGGATAATAATCCCCCCTGGAACTATGAGATACTGCTTGAGGAAGAAATGATGAGGCATAGATCCTAGTTTTCTAAGAATTCTCCCAAATATAAGAGTACCGTAATCAACAAAATAATGGAACCAAAATATGTACACATCCTTGTCCCTAGAACCTTGAAAATACTACTTTACATGTCAAAAGGGATTTTATAAATGTGATTAAGATAGGGCTTTTGAGGTGAGAAGACTATCTTGGGTTATCTGAGTGGGGTGCTTTTGTAATCATAGGGGTCCTTGTAAGGGAAGAGGGAGGCAGGAGGAACAAAGTCAAAAAGAGACTGAAGATGCTTTGATGTTGGCTTTGAAGATAGAGGAAGGGGTCACAGGTCAAGGAATGTAGATAGCCTTAAGAAGCTGCGAAAGGCAAGGGAATGGATTCCCCCCTAGAGTTTGTAGAAGGAATACAGCCTGCTGACCTTGACTTTAGCCCAGAGAAACCTATTCTTCGACTTCTGTCTTCTAGAATCAAAAGACAGGAAATTTTTGTTGCTTTAAGCCATTTGTGAAAATTTGTTATAGCAACAATAGGAGACTGATACAAATACCAATCCTGTTTTTTAAAACCCAGAGTCTCTCTGTAACAACCTAGAGGGGTGGGAAAGGGTGGGAGGTAGGAAGGAGGTTCAAGAGGAGGGGGACTATGTACACCTATGGCTGGTGTTCCTGTGGTTAAGAATCTGCCTGCCAATGCGTGGGACATGGGTTCTATCCCTGGTCCAGGAAGATCCCACAGGCCTTGGTAAAACTAAGCCCATGAGCCACAACTACTGTACCAGTGCTCTAAAGCCTGTGCTCCACAACAAAGAAGCCACTGTAATGAGAAGCTATGCACTGCACCTAGAGAGTAACCCCCACTCCTGGCAACTAGAAAAAGCCTTCATGCAGCACAGCCAAAAATAAATATTTTTTAAAAATAAAAAGCTCTGTGCTTTTAATCAGTATAAGAAAAGGGTAAGGGAAATAGTGCCATTATTTTTCTACAAGGGTTTAGTTTTTAACAGATTTAAATTTCAAATTCTTATCTCTTAGATAACGCAATGCAGATCGGTTTAAAAAGCTAAAATTTTGAAGTACTGAAAGAGATATTTTGTGTAACAGTAAACAATATTTTTCAGCTAGCATTTATCAGACATTACGTGCCACACAGTGTTCTGAACCCTATGCATGCCTGAAAGCTAAACTAAGCACAATCCAGCCCCAAGGTGCTACCGTGAGTTAGAGAGCCTTGCTATCTGGATGGATTCCCAGGTATATAACTGGTTCATCAGGATGAATGTGAGGGTGGAGGAGGATTTATATAGTTGTTCCATAGTAAAGACTATCTTTTTTTTGGACATACTACACGACAGACCCTGGACAAAGCAAATGCATTATCTTATTTATTCTTACACTAATCCTTTGAGGTAGAGTTGTCATCACCATTTTACAAAATAGGAAAATAAGATTCAGAGAAGTCAATTGTCCAAAATTGTGAATCTAGAGAGTGGCAGAACTAAGATTCAAACTCAAATCCTGCTGTCCCCAGAAGTGTCTATGTGAGGTATAGACACCTATCCTAAGTACTCAGAAATGTTATGTGACTACAAGTATGTTTAAACCACAGAACAACAGGCTCCGGTCAGGGTGATCACTTTTTATCTGTTTAGATAATCATGTTTTCCTCACTTTCAATGCCAGGTATATTTTCTTTTCTGTGAATTCATGTCCTTTGCACTTTGGGGTCATTTCCTTATTAATTCAAATGATCTTTATTATAAAGTATGTGGAAATATAAGAAAGCATAACCAAGGAGTCATGATGAATTCCTCCTTCACCTTCAACTACCTTCACAAGCACAGTGCTGGGTTCTGTTGATTTTTCCTCCCAAACATGCCTTATGTTTTGAAAACATCCATTTCTTTCATCTTCACTTTCATCACCCATGCTAGGTCCTTTTAGCTTTCCCAACACACAGAGTTTTTTTCATCTTCTAGTCTTTGTGTACATTTCCCCTGTGCCCAGATCACTCTGCCCCAGCTCTCTGCATGACTGCTTTTGCATCCTTCAGGCTCCAGTTTGAAAAGTATGTTCTCAGAGAGCTCTTCCCTGCCTATCTTATCTCAGGAAAGTTTTCCTTTCTTACATTCTTTTCCTATCTTTCATAGTACTTATCACCATTTATAACACAAAATATTCTAGATCTTTTGCATGCAATTAATGAATTAATATTTGTAAAGTGCTTAGAACAGTATAAGGCACATAAGTTCTATGTAAGTGATGATTAAAAGAAAAAACTCCCACAATCCTCACAACCCTACTTGTGCTATTAATGTCACCTTTTTACAGAGGACAAAGTGAGGAACAGAGAAGTTAAGCAACTTGTCCAAAGCTGCACAGCTAATAAGTAAGAGAGTGTAGCTACAAGCTCAGTCTGGGACCAAAATCTACATATCCAACCATTTTCTACATTTCCCTTTCAGTCCAGGACCTAGCATAGTTCATTGTACCTACTAAGTACTTTCAATAAATATCTGTTTAATGAATGAAGGGCTTCCCTGGCGGCTCAGATGGTAAAGAATCTGTCTGTAATGTGGGAGACCTGGGTTCGGTTGGGAAGATCCCCTGGAGAAGGAAGGAAGGAACTGCTCTATTAAGAAAATAAAATTTACCTATGATCCTACCACGTAGAGATTTTGGTATTCATACTTTAGATTTTTTTTAATGTAAGGTTATACTTTTTATCAAAATCATAACTTTCAGAAATTATTTTGAGGAGCATAGATCAAGCATCAGTACATAATGTATTTGACATTTTATTCTTTAAAACATTTATAATTTCAAGTGAATTTTCTTCCTTTAGAAAGTAGGTGGAAGGTGGGGAAAAGAAGGCTGTCTTTAAACAAAAGATAAAGAATTTCTTAAAATATTATGGCCCTTCTTTATCTCTAGGTAGAGGCTGCCAAACTACAGCTAGAAAGTCTAGGGAAAGCATGAGATATTTTTTAAAAATACTATACTTCTTTAAATCAAGTGTGTTTTAAAATTTGTCATGAGAATTATCTTTAGAAAATCAACTGGCAAGAGTTTTCTAAATATTCCCAAAGCACAGCAAAGGTCCATTGTTTACAAATCAACAACAGTCTATGATGATTACATGGCTATGGCAATGGGAAAATTAGATAAAAAGACAGTGCTCACCTAGAACAGGCAAGAAAAACAAGCAAAGGCTACTAGTAAACACCAACAGGAAGCTTCTGCAGATACTGGTTTGCTCAGTTTCAAAGAATTTTTTTTTGTTCTTCTAAAATAGTTTCAGGATAAATAACTTGTAGCAGCTGGTCATCAAATTCACATACACTCATGGAAGGCTCACATCACTAAGACTGGCTATGAATAATACATCGGCTCTCAAGGGAGGATTGGGTTGGTCTGCTGCTCCTTCGCAGTGTTCTCCTGCCATTCAACAATAGCAAGGTGAAGCCAGACTGCCATGTGGAATGGTGTGTGGTTACAGTCACAGACACTGCATTCACGAGCACTCCACATTTCTGAGATAGAGTTAGCGGATAAGGACTACCAGAGCATAATCAAATGCAGTCATAGCAGTGGGAGCCTTGTATCACATTACCTTTGAAAATATTTTAATCTAGAAACACCGTACATTGGATACAAAATCCATGACTACCTGACCTATCCCAGGCATGGCCTGGTATAAACTACTCCAAGATATCTCCCATTTGGTTTGGGTAAATAGAAATCTTGAGCTAGGCATAGAGAAAATTTGAAAATTAAAACAGAGTCAAACTAAGTATTTTTGAATGCTTTTAAAAGACAATGAAAAATGACAGCTTAGATCACATCAGAGCCTCCTTATGTAGTCTTCAAAGCTGATTTCTTACAGTCAAAGGGACCCAGAAGCAGCAGACACGGCACGATTTTGAAGCTCAGACTTTGTTCTATTATTCAATTGCAGCCAACTTTCAACTATTGAAGAAAGAAGAAAGATGATTTAGAATAACAGGATTGCTCATCTGTATCGCAAGATCCTTCAAGCAGCTCACTACTTGATGTCCAGAGATCCCAGGGTGGAGGTGAGTTTCTATTGCTACCGCTGTCATCTTATCGCTTCGTGTTGACTGCAACATGTGTTGTTTGAAGACTTAGAAAGTATTGATTTATGGGTTCAAAGTATCATTGGATCTTGCACTTAAAGCTCCTAACTGTAATCTAGGCACATTCTTAACAACACACATATAGAGAAGTAAGAGGATTTTGGATTATTGCATCATTGCTTCCAACACTCAGCTCCTATTTTCATTCCAGTCAGTAGGGTCGATCTTGGAAGAGTGGGGTTCAGGATCTGAGTGGTAAGTTCCTTAGTAGAAGGAGGCAGGGAAGTGTTGGTGGCAAGAATGCCTGTTTTTCCTCTGCCTCTGGGCCAGATACACCCTGATAGAGGCTAGCAGAGGTTTAAACACAGAGTGTAATGGGGATGTGGCCCTACAGTTTTTCTTCAAAGATGAAAATAGTCCTCTGGTATATAACATCGTGTGTAACATCTGTATTACCACTAAATGGGCCTGGTAAATAGAACAAACATCACCTACCAGCCAGAAACAACGATTCCCTGACCAACTTTGGACTCCATCACTAAGGAGTCTTGGTTTTTCCATCTATAGACATTCTTAGTTGATTCCATCAGTTTAACAGTCATCCCCGCCATGGCTATCTTCTTCTCTTAAACTAGAGAGATTAGTGAGGTCAGGCCAGCACTTCGGCACCAAATTCAGACTTCATAATAAAGTAAACCACACAGGGAATAGATGTCAGCATAGTGAGCACTTTGCTGTTCATCCCTATTAGGGGATGACAAGAGCTGTTTTCCTCAGGGCCAGGTCACTGTGAGGTGCTGGCTGCGTTTGCTCGAAGTGTTCACTTGGAGGGTGATTTGTGAGCTATTGCTGAGCACATAATGGTTAGGATAGTTGCAAAAGCAGCCATGGCCCCACACAGGTTTGCCTGAACTCAGTAAATCAAATTGGGTTCTAGAGAAATGTTCTGTTGGGTTCTGATTGGAACCTCTTGGATACGCCTTTGGATTTTAAGACAGAGCTGAATACTGACGTGGGAAGATGGTCCACTTCCTCCCAGCTTCCTGTAAGGGGCCCTTTACAATTCTAAGGATGTAGCTTGTCCTTTGGCAGAAAAAAATCCTTTTAAAATCTTGCAAGCAGACACAAAAATAATGGTAATAATAACAGAAGCTGTTTTCTTGTGTATAATGGGAGAGTTTCTCAGGCCTCTATCTTCTCTTGGTGGTTGCTCTTCTTTCTTTTCCTTAAGAGTCATAGCAAAAAATAAAGTTTATCAGTTTAAGCAGAATGATATTTTAGAAATTAGGATCTGGCTAACAAAGGGTCTTTTCCAGCAAGAAGGGCTTGGAGCTCAGCAATGAGCACCTCAAGATACAAAGGAGGCATGAGGATGAGTTTGGGGGCCACAGTTTGGGTCATGAAAAGTCCTGCAAATCTTAGAATTCATCTTTTTTTTTTCTTTGTAAGCATTTAAAGATGCTCTCCCTCTCAAAAATTAGACAACTTTAAAAAATTGAGATATTTTGACATATAACAAGGCATAATTTTAAGGTATATGTTAATATGATACATTTATATGTTGTAACATGATTACCATTGTAGTGATAACTAGACCTCTATCATGTTACATAATTATCATTTATTTAGTGGTTGGAATAATTAAGTTCTAGTCTCTTAGAAAGTTTGATGATTATAATATTGCTGTCTGTATTCCTTATACTTTACTTTAGATCTCTAGGGCTTACTTATGACCTGTTGCAAGTTTGTACCCTTAAACAACATATGTCTTACCCCTCCATCTGCCACCCTCTGGTAATCACGATTCTACTCTTCGTTTGTATGAATTTGGCCTTTTTTAGATTCCACATATAAGTTATATCATATGGTACTTGCCTTTTTCTGACTTATTTCGCTTAGCATAATGTGCTCAAGGTCTGTTAATGTTATGGTAAATGGCAGGATGTCATTCTTTCTTATTATATACGTGTGTGTGTGTGTGTGAGACATATATGACATATATATATATATATATATATGACATCTTCCATACACGAACCCTTATGTTCATACACTATTCACAGTAATTAAGGCACAGAAACAGCCCAAATGACCACTGACAGATAAATGGATAAAGAAGATATGGTGAAGGAGGCAAGGATATACAATGGAAAAAAGACAACCTCTTTAACAAGTGGTGCTGGGAAAACTGGTCAACCACTTGTAAAAGAATGAAACTAGAACAGCTTCTAACACCATACACAAAAATAAACTCAAAATGGATTAAAGATCTAAATGTAAGACCAGAAACTATAAAACTCCTAGAGGAGAGCATAGGCAAAACACTCTCCGACATAAATCACAGCAGGATCCTCTATGACTCACCTCCCAGAATACTGGAAATAAAAGCAAAAATAAACAAATGGGACCTAATGAAACTTAAAAGCTTTTGCACAACAAAGGAAACTATAAGCAAGGTGAAAAGACAGCCTTCAGAATGGGAGAAAATAATAGCAAATGAAGAAACAAAGGATTAATCTCAAAAATATACAAGCAACTCCTCCAGCTCAACTCCAGAAAAACAAATGACCCAATCAAAAAATGGGCCAAAGAACTAAGCAGACATTTCTCCAAAGAAGACATACAGATGGCTAACAAACACATGAAAAGATGCTCAACATCACTCATTATCAGAGAAATGCAAATCAAAACCACAATGAGGTACCATTTCACGCCAGTCAGGATGGCTGCTATCCAAAAGTCTATAGGCAATAAATGCTGGAGAGGGTGTGGAGAAAAGGGAACCCTCTTACACTGTTGGTGGGAATGCAAACTAGTACAGCCACTATGGAGAACAGTGTGGAGATTCCTTAAAAAACTGGAAATAGAACTGCCATATGACCCAGCAATCCCACTCCTGGGCATACACACCGAGGAAACCAGATCTGAAAGAGACACGTGCACCCCAATGTTCATCGCAGCACTGTTTATAATAGCCAGGACATGGAAGCAACCTAGATGCCCATCAGCAGACGAATGGATAAGGAAGCTATGGTACATATATACAATGGAATATTACTCAGCCATTAAAAAGAATTCATTTGAATCAGTTCTAATGAGATGGATGAAACTGGAGCCCATTATACAGAATGAAGTAAGCCAGAAAGATAAACACCAATACAGTATACTAACCATATATATGGAATTTTAAAAGATGGCAATGATAATCCTATATGCAAAACAGAGAAAGAGACACAGATGTACAGAACAGACTTTTGGACTCTGTGGGAGAAGGTGAGGGTGGGATGTTCTGAACAAATAGCATTGAAACAAGTATACTGTCAAGGGTGAAACAGATCACCAGCCCAGGTTGGATGCATGAGATAAGTGCTCAGGGCTGGTGCACTGGGAAGACCCAGAGGGATGGGATGGGGAGGAAGGTGGGAGGGGGGATTGGGATGGGGAACACATGTAAATCCATGGCTGATTCATGTCAATGTATGGCAAAAACCACTATGATGTTGTAAAGTAATTAGCCTCCAACTAATAAAAATAAATGAAAAAAAAAAAGATATGGTGTGTATATAGAATGGAATACTGCTCAGCCATAAATGAAATAATGCTATTTGCAGCAACCTGGTTGGCCCTAGAGAAGATTATAATAAGTAAGTCAGAAAGAGAAAGATATATGATATCACTTTTACGTGGAATCTAAAATATGACACAAATTAACTTATTTATGAAACAGAAACAGACTCACCAACTCAGAGAACAGACTTGTGGTTGCCAAGGGGAGTTGGGGAAGGGAAGGAGGAGGAGTCTGAGATTGGCATATGCAAACTATCATACCCAGAATGGATAAACTTTGTTGTTGTTCAGTCACTAAGTCGTGTCTGACTCTCTGACACCATGGACTGTAGCCCACCAGGCTCCTCTGTCCATGGGATTTCCCAGCAAGAATACTGGAGTGGGGTGTTATTTCCTTCTCTGGGGGATCTTCCTGACCCAGGGATCAAACCTGTGTCTCCTGCATTGGCAGGCAGATTCTTTACCACTGAGTTATCAGGGTAACTTAGACAATGCTTTATCTAAAATTATTTTGTAATGGTTTTCACCATCAAACAATATTTTTATTTACAGGTAGAGTTTCTTAAAGTAGTTTTGAGACTCCTATAGAGGTCATGTCTCATACATGCCATTTCTTCCTTTATCCTGCCAATATGCCACAGATAAAGAGTACCTAGCTTTCTGTACTGGGCATTCTTCAGCACTCCAACACTGAGACTGGGTCTGTTTTTCATTTTTAAACTACCCTTATTGATTGCTCACTCTGTGCCAAACACTATGTCAGGACTTTATATACCTTATCTCATATTCATCTAGCAATCCTGTGAACTAGGTATTATTATTATTTTTCAGAAGAGGAAACTAAAACTCAGAAAAGTAAAGTAACTTGCCTGATGGCATAGGGCTAATGAGTAGAGAAGCCAGAATTCAAATCCTGGTCTCCCAACCCCTACTTTCCCTCCATGCTTTTGACCTTCTTGGGAAACATCTCCCTTGTTCTTCAAGTTCAGTTGCAGTAGCCTGTAATTCTGTTCATACATCTCACTTTACAGTAAATGTTAGACTGCTAAAGTAATCCTGCAGTGATGATGATGGTTCTTTTTCTTTCTGTTTCTCTCTTTAAACAAAATACGTTTATTTGAATTCTCTAAAAATTGACATCTATCTATAAATTCAAATTTTTGTACAATGTTTTATAGATACCTTTACCACATTTTAGTTTTAGTCCTTTTTTTCCCCCTCAGATAATTTAGCTCTCTTTTTTTGGCCAAACATATTCCTTTAGCTTTTTAGGTTATATAACAAAGGACAAGTTATAGACTCATAAAAATTTAGGTGGGGGAGAAGACCTCAGAGATCTGCTTCTCCAACCCCATCATTATATGGGCAAGGGAGGCCGGCCAGTGGTTGTGGTCTCTTGGTTGACTCAGAGCTTCAGTTACTCCAGCTAAAACTGGAGGCAATTTGACTACTTCTATAAAGTTGTCCCAAAAGTTTATAAATCAAGAAGAGATATTTAAATGGATGCTTTCAGTTTTATTTAAAAGAATACAGTGCAAGTGTTAGTCACTCAGTTGTGTCTGACTCTTTGTGACCCCATGGGCTGTAGCCCTCCAGGCTCCTCTGTCCATGGGATTCTCCAGGCAAGAGCACTGGAGTGGGGGCTTCCCAGGTGGTCCAGTGGTTAAGAACCTACCTTGCAATGCAAAGGACATTGGTTTGATACCAGGTCTGGGAAGATCCCACATGCCACACACAAGTTAGCCCATCCGCCACAACTACTGAGCCTGCTGGCTGCGTGAAGCCCACGTGCCCCAGAGCCTGTGCTCCGCCACAAGAGAAGCCTTCACAATGAAGAGAAGACCTTGCTCACCACAGCTAGAGAAAGCTCGCATATCAGTAAAGACTCACCACAGCCAATAAATAAATAGATTAAAAAAAAAAAGAGAATACTGGAGTGGGTAGCCAATCCCTTCTCCAGAGGATCTTCCCAACCCGGGGACTGAATCCAGGTCTCCTGCACTGCAGGCAGATTTTTTTACCATATAAGCCACTAGGGAAGCTCCCCAGAAGAATAAAAGACTCATACCAAATGGCAGCTGGTTTTGCTCTGAACATTTTCAGGAGTATCCCTAAGACGCGCAACTACCACCAGGCTGTGGCAGCTTGACAGCACTGCTCAGACTCTTCTTCGTTGCTGTTGACTTACAAATTTATTTTAGCTTCAGGCGTGTAACATAGTAATTCAATATTTTTACACATTATATTCCATTTAAAGTTATAATATATTGGCTCTATTCACTGTGCTGTATAACAGATCCTTGTAACATTTATTTTACACACAGTAGTTGGTGAATCTTAATCCTCACTGCTAATTTGACCCTTTCCCTTTCTCTCTTCTTACTGATAATCGCTAGATTGTTTTCTATATATGTGAGTCTGTTTCTGTTTTGTTTCATTTTTTAGATTCTACACATAAATGATAACAGTTATCTTTTTTTTTTTGGAATAGTCACCAAGATAGACTATATTCTTGGCCATCAAATGTATCTGTACATATTTTTTTGTTTGTTTGTTTTTGTTTTACTTTTTTTCATTTATTTTTATTAGTTGGAGATAACAGTTATCTTTGACTTATTTCATTAAACACAACAAACTCTATGTCCGTCCATGTTGTTGAAAAAAGTAGAATTTAACTTTTACGGCTGACTAATATTCCACTATGTATTGTGTGTGTTAGTCACTTGGTCGTGTCTGACTCTTTGTGAGCCCATGAACTATATAGCCCACCAGGCTCCTCTGTCCATGGAATTCTTCAGGCAAGAATACTAGAGCGGGTTACCATTCCTTTCTCCAGGGGATCTTCCTGACCCAGGGATTGAACCTGGGTCTCCTATATTGTAGGCAGATTTGTTAACTGTCTGAGCCTCTATATATGTATAGATACATATATGTATCTATATATACATTGCATCTCATTATCTATTCATTTGTTGACACCTGGGTTGCTTCCATATCTTGGTTCTTGTAAATAATGCTGCCATGAAGTTTTGGGTTCATTTATCTTTTTGAATTGATATTTTCAGATATATACCCCAAAGTGGGATTGCTGGATCATATGGTAGTTATATTTACAGGTTTTTGAGGAACCTCCATACAGTTTTCCATAGCGACTACACCAGTTTACACTCCCACCAGTGGCGCAAAGGTGAAGTGTTCTCCACATCCTTGTCAACACTGGCTATTCGCAGACTTTTTAAAAAAAGCTTTTTATTTTGTATTGAAGTATAGCTGATTAACAATGTTGTGATAGTTTCAGGTGGACAGCAGAGGGACTCAGCCGTCCACATACACGTATCTAGTCTCCCCCAAGCCCCCCTCCCATCCAGGCTGCCACAGGACACGGGGCAGAGCTCCCTGTGCTCACATACAGTAGGGCCTTGTTGGTCATCCATTTAAAATACAGCGGCGCGTACAAGTTGATCCTAAACTCCCTAACTACCCTGTCCCCCCCTTCTTCCTCTCCGGCAACCATGAGTTCATTCTCAGAGCAAGGCAGCCTCTTGAACTGGGTTCTGTCTGGATTCTAATCAGAAGAGGAATGCTTGAAGGCAGACTAGCCTCCAGGTGTTCAAAATACCTTTTTGATCCTTGTTCATATTTCTGTCATTCTCTGCCTTTCGCCAACATACGAGCGAAAACCAGAACGGGACCAGAGTGTCCAGGGGGAGACAGATGAAAAGCACTAAAGCAGAGAAAGCCGGTGGTTTGTTTGAGCTGATCCAGCTCTCAGTTCCATACGCAGAGGCTTATCCATGGTATGTGGACAAAGGACAGCCATGGTACTTAAAAAAAAAAAATCAATCCCTCACTTGCATCCCAAGCTGCTATTTTGGGAGCACAAATTTCAAATAGTACTTCCTAAGAGAAGTTGATAAACATTTGGTCATTAACTGGAAACCAATGTCTCCCTCAAAGCTTAATGAACAAAATATTTAGCCCCCCCTCCTTTCTAATTCCTTGCTTATATACCATCAATTATGTTAAAGTAATATTTAGGATCAGTTCCTCTTGACAGAGCTTTCTGCCTTCACGTTTATAATTGCATTTCTCTAAATGGAAAACATCCACTTTGATCTGGCATAGATGCCTGGATAAGTCTAGTTTCATACATTACACAAATTACATTTAATAATGATATTCTTTTCATTTTGCACAGATGAGGACACACAGTGAAGACAATTAATGAAAATGAGAAGATCTATTGCTATAATTAAGAACATCAAGATCAGGAACAACTGATAAAGGAGGTCAGGCTTCACACACATGGACAAAGCCTATTTCCTGGAAGACACAACTTCTAAGCAACAGGAGGATTTGCCTTATGATGAGGGTTTCTCCCAAGTTAAGATATACCATGGTTATAATCTTACCTCAAGATATGACATCCTTGATGTCTCAAATCAAATGAATTTAACAGAAGATGAATCTCAAGAAAAGGCTACATATAGAGAGACTTGCCAAGAGGCAGATATGACCATGACTTTGGATAAAACGACTGAAAATGCTGTCAGCAAAACATGTGATAAAGAGAATCAATGCACCATAAATCTTTCTATTTCAGCTAATCAGGAAGACACTTCAAAGTCAAACATTTCTGATATTTTACTCCATCACCTTTTCAAAGAAGAATTCTCCAAAGATCAAGGCATTGATTGTGAAACTCTCCCAGAGATCTCTAATAATGACAGTTTTGATGAAGCTATTATTAAAAATATTATTGTGTGGCATGTTAAGAATTCTTGGCCAACAGAACAATCCTCAGAACTTACTGACCAACTCAACTCCAAAAGCGATGATGAAAGTAGCAATAAGCCCAGTTGTTCTCTGACCATGACAGAGGAAAACACCTCCGATTCAGATGAGTTAGTAGCTGCTGGAGAAAACAACCATGAGGAAAATTCAAATTTTCTAACTAAAATCAAGTGTCTACATGATAAACAAAAAAGTTGCCTATGGCAGACGCCTCAGGAACAGGCTGAAAAAGCAAGCTCTGGCAACAAGTTCAAATACGGCCACAGTCAAGTTTATTACTGGTTCTCTGATTTCTCTAAGGTTGCTCCCAAAGTGAAAATTCCTAAAAATAACATAATTGACAAACCACTTATAACAGATCCACAAGCCAGCTTTTCTCCTAAATTGAGAGAGAAGTCAGCTGTTGGGCAAGATATTTCAGAAAGCACATCTAGATCAAATTATGTTGAAAAACAAGAGCAGACGTGGGAAACTATTGAACCTTCACAATGGGTGGAGGTAAGTGAAAGCAGTCTTCAGGAAACATACCCCCAGGGCTGCTGCTCATCCAAACTAGTGTGGGTCTTCAGAAGGTTCATAGAACTAAGTTGTAGTTCTGAGGTTCTGTTATTATCGTTTATATTTTGTCCTACCTCCCTTCGAAGACAATGGGCTGCTTTTCTGGGCGCCTGATGTCCTCTGCTAGCGATCAGAAGTTGTTTTGTGAAATTTGCTCAGCGTTCAAATGTTCTTTCGATGAATTTGTAGGAGAGAAAGTGGTCTCTCCGTCCTATTCCTCCGCCATCTTGACTCCTCCCCTGTTCTGAGGTTCTGAATTCTAGTTCTAGTCCGGTGCCCTGACCTCTCAGGAGCTCAGGAGGTGTCCTCATGAGAAGAATCTGGAACTGAACTAACAACAACACAGAATAAAATCCAAATTCTCCAACCTGGAATTTGCATTTCCCCATTTTTCCTGTCATCCTAGCCTTCTGAACTCAGCTCCCCTTCCCCAGGAATCATCCTCAGTTAGTGGGCTGGGCCCACCCTCTTTGAGCTCCTGCCTTGCCAGGAACATCCCACCTCCACTTATCAAACCTCTGCTCATTTTCATGGTCTCCTTCAACTCCACACTGGCCATGAGACTTTTCAGAATCCCACAGCCCGTCTTTTCCATCCGTGTTTGTTAAGTATTCTGTCAGAGCTTATCTCAGCCTGATTGCCTCATTACAATTTCTAAACATCTGTTCCTTCTACTAGATTTTAAGGCTCTGGAGGCAGCTACCTCGTCTTCATATTTCCATCACCCAAGTTCCCCCAGAGGAGGGGAACTGGCCAGGTTCCCCTGGCCAGGTGTTTGCATGTATTATGCCCTTGGTTATGAATGCTAACTTGAATTATGATCTTTAATAACACATTTCAAGATTGTTATACTGGTAACTATTTAGTACAACATTTTGTTAACATTTAATTTATACTTTTTCCCCTTTCCCCATCTTTCCATCCTTCCACCCACCTTCCCAAATGCTGAGGCTGAGGATCTCACTGACTATTTGAGGTTCTGTAGTTAAATAAGTTCACATTAATGATCAAAGTAAACACTTTAGCTCTCTGGCACTTTGCCAGGACTGTATGATTTTTCTTTTGAGCAGTCTATGAAGGGCACCCTGCCTGAACACTCTCTGCCTGTTTCCATTTCCACCCCTTCATCCACCTTTTCTTTTAACTGAAACTTCTGGGGAATTTGAATAGAACCTCCCCTACCCCTTGCAACATACAACCACCACCTGGAGTCAGCAGCCCTTTCGGCCTTGACCGGGATGCTTCTCTCAGTCTTGAAGAAATCTGTACCCCTGTGACATTGGGAAGTCTCCACATTCCTCATTCTGCTTGCAGAAGAACGTTCTTGGGTGGGCACAGTTCTCAGTGCCCTGTGGGAAGTAGAGGCAAAATGAATAGCAAGTTCATCTGTCTCTGGTAATGGGAGTCTGAAGTGGGTCATCTGCTTTTGTCTTGTTCTGTCCATTCAGGTTGGAGAACTGGACTCTAGTTTCCATAGCCATCACATACCCAAGATATTCCTAATAACCACAGTCTAGTTTGACCACAACATTGGCTCTCTGCCTCTAGTGTGTTTGTGAGCTGTGTGTGTTGGGAACAATGGGAAGACGATCAAGGTGAATCACTCTGGAATTTGAACTCTTATCCAGTTAGCCTGTGGTGAGCAGAAAAGGGAATGTCCTGTGTGAAGTCACTATCTTGCTCCCAGACACTAGCCACCATGTATCTATCTGGTGTTAGTGAGAGCACTAGCAATAGAGTCAGTGACGAGACCAACAGAGATCCCTGCCCTGGGAGTGTGTGGTTGAACTGTAGGAGAAGTGTTTGAGTATTCCATATAATAGTATCAAACACGGTAACAGTAACAGCTAACATGTATTGAATATTTTCCATGTGCCAGACACTATGGTAACATTTAATTCTCATCATGGCACTATGAAATAGCTTATGTTACTATCCCCATTTTATTGCTGAGGAATTTGAGTTTTATAGAAATGATCTAATTGCTCTGGATCACCTGGCAGATAAGTGTCAGAGTGGAATTCAACCTTGGCATAACTCTGGGTGGCCTCCATGATGACCAGAACACATTGGGTCATCCTGCATAATGGTGTCGTTGGTTAATATCAGCAGTAATGTTTTCTTATCCTTTCATTGTGCAGATGGAGCCCACAGTACATATCCACCAAGAACATCTCACAGGTACTAGCATTTTTAAACCTCTTTGACTTAGAAACACCTTTTGAAAAGAGATTTTTTTTAACAGCAAATTGTGGTGATTGCCACAGACTTCTGTTTTCGGTACTTAACAAAACTGTAATGCAGTTGAGATGAATGGTAGCCAAAATTTATTCTTTCTTATGTAGGAATAGAATCCGAGCCGAATCTCTCTAAGTTGCCATCAACTTCTAAGGAAGACCCTTCCTTGAGTTCTTCTTACATATTTCAAAAGATATCCCAGGGGAAGGAGATGTGTCAGAAGTTAAAAGAACAAACTGATCAACTGAAGGCTAAAGTAATACCTTTCTTTTTAAAGTTATACTTTTAAACCTTATTATGAAAAATAGAAGTAACCAAATTCAAATGTAAGACATCAGGCCCTTAATAAAATGTTGCATTTTTTTCACTGCAGGTACAAGAATTTTCCAAACGCATAGCACAGGATTCTCCCTATCATTTTCAACACAGAAGGCTGGTAATGAATTTTGTCATGTTTCAAAAGTCTTTATTAGGGAATTTGACATGGGAAAATATGACACAAATTATAGCATCATATTTTCTCTACATTGGTGGGGGTAGAAATGTTCTGCCAAGAAAAGCTTTGCTAAAGATTTAGCTATCTTTGTCTTACAAGGATGAAAAGAGAGTAGAGCTTTCTGTTTCAATAAATATTTAGCCCTTTTTCCTTCTCAGGGGGATCTGTATGGCTGTTTTTCCTCAGCAGTCATCCCATAATAAATCAGAAACCACAGTAGGTTCAAGAAAACAATATGTCAGCTATTGTAAAGGGCAAGCACAACCAGATTTGATGGGCCTGGGGAACACAGGCTATAAAAATTGCCAGTATCTGTAAACTCAATATATAAAACTTGAAAACCCTAAAAGTCAATCTTGAATACATACTTTTCAGATCAAAATCTTTGGCTTTTATATCCTTGCTTTTTGTCACATTTCATCAAATCACTACTTTACATTGGAACCCATAGCCTCGTTCATCAGTGTCAGGGTCGTATGGAGTAGAGGTGAAGCGTGGCAATGGGCAAAAGCTGAGACCGCTAGAACCAGGGATGTGTGAAGTTGAAATTGTAGTTTAGGCCATTGGACCAGTAGCGAGATGGGTGGTCAGATGTCCTCACACAAAGGACACGGGCAAAAGTCAGGACAGGCTGTGCTTCAGAAGCCAGACACAGACAAAAAACTAGGAAGATTCAAATGCTAAGACACACAGTTCATTATTCTTTCATCATATGAATTAAATAACTCACATTCATTCAATAACATTTGTGGGGTACTCCCTATGACTCAGACTCTGCATCAGGCAGAAGGAATTTGAAGACAAAGAAACAGTCCCTTTTTCAAGCGGATTATAGACTCCTGGGAACAACAGACCAGTAAATCCACAAGTAACATGCAGCATGAGAAAGGTTACCTATGATCACATATGATGCTAACAGTGGCACGGAAGAGGCTCACCCTGACCAGGGGGAGAGTACTTTGGAAGGCTTCCTGGAAGGGATTTCTGGACTGGACATTGTAGGAAGAATATGGCAGGGTAGGGCAAAGGGGTGTTCCATGAAAAGGAATCAGCAGGTGCTGTGGACCAGGGGCAAGACAGTGCTGAGAGTGTGCGGAGTGTGGCAGTATAACTGACCAGATGGCGCTCACAGGGAAGGGAGGAGACTGGAGAGAGGTCCTTAGATAAGGACTGTACCACGAGAAGCCTTTATGCCATGCTAAGGAGCTTAGATTAATTTCATCTTGAGGTGGCATGATGGGGCAACACTGGACGGTTTAAAGCTGAGAAACAGCAACCACCATGGGGGCAAGACAGTAGGAAATAGGCTAGGAAATTATAATCCAGGTACCAAATTATGAAGTCCTAAACCAAGGCTGGCAATAAAGATGGAGAAGGGGACTAATCTAAGAGTTTAAGGAAGCGGTGGCAGACTTAACAGGGTAAATAAAGGGAGGGAGGAGGCTTGGATGCATGCCAGATTTCTAGCTTGGCTAACCAAGGTCAGGAATCAAAGTGGAGGATCTGGTTCAGAATGGGTGTGGGAGGCAGGCAGGAGGCCAGATGTCAAGTTCAGTTGGGACATTTTGAGGCACCTGTAGGACATCCAGTTGGAGGGGTCCAGTAGGCAATTAGAGCCATGGATCTGAACTTCAGAGGATGTGTTTGGGTTAGACAAGTAAATTTGGGCACAGTTGTAGGTTGAAGCTGTGCAGTATAGAGATTGCTCAGGCAAACAGGTGGAGTAAGCGGTGAAGAAATTAAAGGTAGAGTCATGGGAAACAGTAACCAGGGGCAAGTGAGAGGTCGCCAAGGAGAAACTGGAATGGTCAAGGCAGACCTGGAAGGGGCAGAGCGACAAAAGTCAAGAGAAAAGAGGGCTCTGAGAAGGAGGGAGTGGGCCGCACTATCCAGTCTTCAAAGAAGGAAGGAAAGCAAGATGTGCATTGGATTTGGCCACTGAGAGATCATGAGGGACCTTGGCAGCCCTGATTTCAATAGAGTGGTGGATCTACCGAAGCCAGGTCGCAGGAGTTAAGGAGTGAATGATAGACGAGTAAAGCGAGTGAGTGAAAAGTTGCTCAGTCGTGTCCAACTCTTTGCGACCCCATGGACTGGACTATACAGTCCCTGGAATTCTCCAGGCCAGAATACTTGAGTGGGTAGCTTTTCCCTTCTCCAGGGAATCTTCCCAACCCAGGGATCAAACCCAGGTCTCCCACACTGCAGGCAGATTCTTTACCAGCTGAGCCACCAGAGAAGCCCAAGAATACTGGAGCGGGTAGCCTGTCCCTTCTCCAGCGGATCTTCCTGACCCAGGAATAGAACCTGGGTCTCCTGCATTGCAGGCAGATTCTTTACCAACTGAGCTATTAGGGAAGCCCTCGTAAGACCCAGGCTTTCAGAAACAGGGAGAACATAAGTTTTTAAAGCAGAGGACAGTGGTTCGAGGCACTAGCCTTCCAAAGCCTGGGTTCAGGAAGTTTCTTCCTATGTTAGAGGGAATGTGGGGATTCGTGTTGGGACCCAGAGGAGAAGAGAGGTGATCTCTGACAGTGTTAACCTTGGCCTGAGAGTTCCAGGCCCATTTGGTTCAGTGAATGAAGGGCAGATAGGGCTAAAACTAACCTCAGCATGAGCAGCATATGTAGAAAGCATCTGGATTTTGGAGCAGACATCCTGGTTCTATGTGTTGAGTGTAGAAGCTTAAACCTTTGACATACCTGCCCATCTCTCAGAGTCAAGTGAGTTAAATGAAGTACACTTATGGTAAGAAAACTATGTCCTAACTTCTTCTGAGGGTAGAACACAATTGAAATTCTGAGATTCCAAATTATAATTCATAACTGGTTTTCTTTACTTTTCTCTTTCCTTTGAGCACCTCATTCCTTCCCATGGCTTTAACCACCATTTCCATGCTGCCAATTCCCAATAACTAGTCCTCACTTCTCATCTATAGGGCCACATGCTGGTGCTGATTTTCCTTTGGATCTCCTGCTCTCACTGAACATTGCACCTTGTCCAACATTGACATCTTCATTCAAACTTGTTAGCCTTTTCAAATTCCTTGTTTTTATCAGGGGGTTCATGTTCTTCCCACCTCCCAAGCTAGGAATCTGCATACTATCTATGAGATTTATAGTGTCAGTTAGGGGTCCTGGCAAGAAAGAGATGACTTACTCCAATGGAGGAACTGAGGAGGGTTTAGGAAGGCATTATGTTATAACCAAATAAAGGTTACAGAAAAGGACAGAAAGGGCCTCATGGAAGGAACAGTGGGGCAGAGGGACGGAGGAAGAGCAGATGATGGTGCATGAGGAGAGTAGCAGGAGTTACAGGAGTAGCTGACAAGCTCCGTGGCTTTTGGTAGAGACACAGCCAATCCGCGATAATACAGGCAGGAGGAAATCAAGGAAATAAAGACCCTACCTCATCTTTCTTCAATTCCTCTCTCCTGCAGTTGCCTTCCATTGACTGAAACCAACCAAAGCCAAGGTCACTGGAGCCTGTTAGTACACTCCATTGAAGCCCAGCCTCTTGGCTGGGGCACAGAGAAAGATAGAGGATGGATCTGGAGGAAAATGGAAAACATGCACCACACTTGCCATTTTCTATGCCCTTTGGCCAATATGCTTATAAACTTGTTTATTTATTTTAATAATAGTAAGAGTAACAATTAAGATGATAGTTACCATCTACTGAATGTGTACCATGCTCCTGGTGCTAAGCAGTATCTCATTTAATTTTCACAATATGAGGTGAAAGCTATTATGCTCTCAAACGTGAAAATTGAAGCTTAGAGTTCAAGGTGATTGAAATCATACAATTAGTAGGTAACAATCTGAACTTGAACTCTGGTGTATCTGATTCTCTAACCCCATGACGCAGCATTCTTGACTTTTGTAATGTCTCTCCAATTCATCCTTTCCTCTCCATTTTCACTGATACTGCCTGGTCCAAGCCCTCTTGAGCATCCTTTAAGCTGAGTAAAGTCTCACTTCTTCCATTGAGCCATGGCAAAGTATTCTCTCCCACAGTCTCTTTTCCCAACTGGAATAAAACCCCTGAGACCAGAGACTGCCTGATACAGCTTTTGTGTCCCTCATACTCTGGGCTCAGGACTAAACATGGGCAATGGTCAGGGAATGCTTAGCACCTGGGGCTGCACCACTGTAGGCTCTATACAAGACCCTGACCTGCACAGTTTACATATTCATCTGCATGAGCCTCATCTGGAAGACTTACTCAAAGCTTCTGGCTAAATTTCCTGATATTTCTGCTTCATCACATCCTCCAAGACATTCAATCCCAGGTCCTCTAACTTCAATTTTTTTATTGGATTATTAATTTATTTTTTATTATCATTGCCTTACAAAGTTGTGTTAGTTTATGGAGTACAACAAAGTGAATCAGCTATATGTATACACATATCTCCTCCCTCTTGAAGTGGTCAAACAGGAGATGGCAAGAGTGAAGTCGACATTTTAGGAATCAGTGAACTAAAATGGACTGGAATGGGTGAATTTAACTCAGATGGCCATTATATCTACCACTGTGGGCAAGAATCCCTTAGAAGAAATGGAATAGCCATCATAGTCAACAAAAGAGTCCAAAATGCAGTACTTTGATGCAATCTCAAAAACAACAGAATGATCTCTGTTTGCTTCCAAGGCAAACCATTCAATATTATGGTAATCCAAGTCTATGCCCTGACCAGTAATGCTGAAGAAGCTGAAGTTGAATGGTTCTATGAAGACCTGCAAGACCTTCTAGAACTAACACTCAAAAAAGATGTCATTTTCATGATAGGGGACTGGAATGCAAAAGTAGGAAGTCAAACACCTGGAGTAACAGGCAAATTTGGCCTTAGAGTACAGCATGAAGCAGGGCAAAGGCTAATAGAGTTTTGCCAAGAGAGCAAATGGTCATAGCAAATACCCTCTTCCAACAACACAAGAGAAGACTCTACACATGGACATCACCAGATGGTCAACAACGAAATCAGATTGATTATATTCTTTGCAGCCAAAGATGGAGAACCTCTATACAGTCAGCAAAAACAAGACCGGGAGCTGACTGTGGCTCAGATC